TGAATTTTGTACTGTGTGATATGAATCATCCTGTATGATTTGGTAAAAAAAATTGAATTAAGAAATTTAGATTATGTAAAACTTGTTTTGAACTAATCATGCTGTACAATTATAAATATGCAATCAAGAAACCCCGCCACATATCATAATTTAGGCAATATTTTGAAAATAGAAAATTGTTGTATTCATATGTATGAACATGTTTGTACTATACGATATTTAAAATCTTACCTAAATTAATCCATATGATTAAGCAATCAAATAAAAAATGTAATTATGATTAGTGATCAATAAACTTGACTTCATACTGTATGAACCGAGAATATACCATAATGAAATTTAATCCACAGGGTATCATCCTGGATGAATAGAGATTTGATTTAACTAATCGTATTGTACAAACTTAACTTCATATTAGATGATTACTGCAAAAATTTGTACTGATTATACTTACCTTCTCTCATCATATAATATTAATAGGGAAATTAAGCTAATCATAATGTACGATCTTTATATCGTAATGTATGAATAGTTACAGCTGAAGTGAAAATTAGGGTTTTTTTTAGACTTGTATTTAAACCCTTCTTATTTCTTTTTTGCAAGTCTTTTGGCTATTGGGAAATTTTTGAGAGAGTTCTTGGTGAGAGCTTTGTCTTTTTGAGAGGTTTTGGAGTTTGGAGAGAGGAATTTAGATGGTTGCTCCAAGCAAGCTTCTACCTATGTTACTTAATGTACCTTCTTTGATCTTGAAGAAAGCTCCAAGGAGAAATTATTTAAGGGCAAAGATCATCGGCACTCCACTGCACTAAGAAGAGGTGAAAGAGATTCAACTACTATGCCACACTAGGAGAAGGTAAAAGGGATTCGGCTACTCCGGCGCAATAGAATTGGTGAAAGAGATTTTGTAAGGGCTTCTTTACCTTGCAGTGGGGGCAAAATGTGAGTCACTAATGGCTTACTATAATATCAGGAGAGGAGGACAACAGGGAGTGGACATATGTCAAATTTTGATCGAACCACTATAAAATTTATGGTGTGCTTGTTTCTTTTTTATTTAGCATTTTTATTTTTTCACATTTTTTATTTTCTACATGTTATATTCTTGCACATCTAGGTTAAAAGCATTGTGATTATTTTGGATTAATTTTTTGTGAGCAAGAAAAATAAAAAAAAAATCTAAAAAACAAAAAAAGAAGAAAAAGATTTTTTTTTTTTAGTTATGTTTTCTACGAAATCAAAACAAAAGAAAAATTGCATTTGAGTTTTTATATCATTAGCTTTCACATTATTAGATCAATCTCTGAGTGTACTTTTGTATTTGGTATTAAGTTTTTTGAAGAAGTAATTTTGAAAAAGAAAAAATTAAAACCCCAATTCACTCCCCCTCTTAGTGTGCTTTGGGTAGTTCAAATATGTTTAACAACCTTATTTGAACTTTCACTCTTTACTTAACCTTATCAACTTCTACTATACTCTGAAAGTTCAAGGAGGTTGTGAGACCTCAAAGAACAAGCCTGAGGCTAACCAAGAGGAGGGGAGTGAATTGATAATTTAAAAATGTTATTAACAAAAAGAAAATATTTTTATCATTTCTTTAGATAAATATTTTTATCATTTTTTTAATATCTAAAAGATATAAAAATTTATCCCTCGATGCGAAAGCAAATTATTTCACAATAACAAAAAGATAAGAGTTTTGAAACATATAATTAGTCATAAAAAAATAAAGTGCAAAAAATAATAAGAATAAATACACTCAATTTTATAGTGGTTCGATCCAATCTGACCTATATCCACTCTCCTGAAACCTCTGTTCCAACTATTGCACTAAAACTATTGTCTCTCCTTTTGCCCCCATAGACAAGGCGAAGAAGCCCTTACAAATATCTTCTACCAACCCAATGCAGTAGAGGACCTTACTCTTTTTCACCCTTCTAGTGAAGACAGAGAATCTTTAATCCTTTTCAGCCTCCTGGTGAAGGAAGAGAACCTTAAATCCTTATTTTCCATCTTGGGGATGGTACAGAACCAATCTATTTTCCCACTCTTAGAGATGGCAGAGAACCACGACCTAGTGCTGTAGAATGTCTCCCTAGAGCCACTAAAGGATTAAGGCAGAAGCTTGAAGAAGACAGGGAAGAACGCAAAGAACCACAACCTAGTGCTGTAGAATGTCTTCCCATAGCCACCAAAGGATCAAGGCAAAAGCTTGAAGAAGACAGTGAAGAACCTTGTTTGGAGTAACCTTGTGAATCCCTCACAACTCTCTTTCACAGACAACTGGCCCAAAGCACTCCTTAACTCCCTTTTTATGCTCCCTCTCAAGACAAATAGCAGCAAAAGTCTTAGAAGCAAGTCTAAGTAAGAGTTTAATTAAAGATCCTCTCAGAAAGCCCTAAATTTTAAACTGGCATCTCTAATTGTCCAGTACGACCCATGATTATACTATACAGTTAGTTTAAAGTACTCTTTTTAGTACTATATATGAAAAGATTGACTCTGTATGATCAATTCAAAGAGTTGAACATATTGTTCAAGATGATTAAGAGCATTGTTCAGTATGATTAGTACAAAACAAACCTTCTAAATAGTATGAATTGTATTGTCATATATGATCAATTTAATAGTCTTTATTGATCATCTCGTACAATAGGCGATGATAAATTATCGTCCCATGCAGAGCTCGGTTCATACAATATTAAATTGGGGGGTCGTCCTATATGATTGGTCTACGCACCTAATAATTTTCCAACTATAAATGAGTGTATAAGAGGATATGCAAGAATATAATATCAATAAACATATAATAATGATTTAAATAATTAATATATATTATAATATTTAATTAATTTTAATAATTATTAATCAATATTAAAATTTGAAAATATAAATAATTATATTAAATTGTTAAACAGTTTTACACTAGACTTAATCGATCTTTATATCAAACATTAAATGAGTTATTTAGCAAGCTTACTCACGAGTTCCATATTGATCATGAAACGAGCTTCATATCGAGCATGTTCATAAACTTTATATGATGTTGTTGATGATTATAAACGAGTCAAACACATGATTGTTTAGGCTTGTTCATTTCATCATTGAGTATTTTAAAAAATATTCAAACTTGTTTTTATTACTTAATCAAACGATTAAGAATGAATTTTAAACGAGCTTAAACATTAGTAGTTTATCGAAAGCTCAGTTTGTTTATAGCCCTACTTGGAGTATAAAAAAGATATATCATAATAGCAAAACTAGTTTGCGATGGATTCAAAATATGTAAGAAAAAAAAAAGAAAAAAAGAAAAAAGAAAAAGAAAAATAAGAAGCTTTATCATAAAAAATAGTTTAGATGTAAAAGTTTGATAAATTAAGAAAACTATATAGGGGCTAATAGGGAGTCTAAAAATGTAATATGCAATACTCAAAATTTAACATTTCATAATTTATATAATATATTATATACTAAGAATGACAAAAAATATATGCATAAATTAATAAAGCAAAGAAATAAGGGAAATAACAACCTAATTCAAATGAAGTGAATAAAAGAAGAAAACGAAAAAGCATGTTTTCTTAGATGAGGATAGACTTTAAGGAAAATAAGTGTATAAAAGCTAAAAGACTTAGGCTTCATTTGTGACAGCTTTTTTGATGCTTCTTAAAGAATCTTTTTAGTTCAAAAAAAAAAAAAAAAATTATATTAAAAAGCTGTTTTAAGAAGCAAGAAGAAAGTCGTCCCATATGAACCCTTAATGATATTCCAATAGAAGTATGAAAATGCTTACTAAAAATTTTAATATTATTTTAAAAACTAAAGATGTCAGATAAGTGGAGTATGTTAATTGCTATTTTTAAGAATAAAAATAATGCATAAGTGTTTGAATTATAAAAGAATTAGGTTAACGTGTCATACATTAAATTACGAAAGAGTAATTGAGCATATATTACGACTTGAAACTAATGTTTTTCATAATTAGTTTGGATTTTGAAGCCTCACAAGTCTACCATGGAAGCTATACATTTGCAAAGAGTTTTGATGGAGAAACATAAAGAGAAAGGAGGATCTCATATGATATCTATTGATTTAAAGAAAACACACGATAAAATTCTAGGGGTACTCTGGAGAGTTCTAGAGAAGAAATAAGTTAATAATGTTCATATTCAAGTCATCAAAAATATTTATATATCAGTTGTTAGTTGTATTTAAACACATGATGATTTGATCAAATATTTTCCTATTTCAATTGAATTACATCAAGTATGAAATTTAAGCTTATATCATTTTACTTAGTCATGAATGTTCTTATTAGACATTTGCAAGAGAATGCACCATAATGTATGCTTTTTTGTTGATTATATTCTTCTTATTTATAAGACTAAAAAGAGAGTTGAAAGTAAACTTGAATTATATAAGTTAACGAGAAAAAAATTATAAGATTTTGACAAGATGTGCAATGCTTTATGACTCAACATGTTGGCCATTAAAAGAGAAGGATAAAATTAAGTATTGCAGAGATGATGATGCTTTGGTTAATGAGTTGTTTTCCATTGAAAAATAAAATGTCAAGTATATACATGAAAAAGTTGGAGTAGATCCAATGACCAATAAGATTAGAGTCACTTTAGACCTAAAAGTCCAAATTAAAAAAAGTATTAAAAATGAACTTTTTTATGTTAGATTTATAAAGAGAATTTGACTAACACAATTGCGAAAAAAAGATTCATATAGCCGATTCCACATTATGGGATAAAAATTCAATATTATTGTTGTATAAAATATTTTAATATCTAAATCATATAAAAATATACAAATAGAAAAATATTTTTTTTAATAAATTATTATTAGTGATATTTTAAATATGATTTAGAAATTTGAGGTTATATGAATAAATATTAAAATTTGAGAGCTAGATATGTAAGTAAATTAGAATTTTGTGATATATATATATATATAAGTAAATAACAAAGAAATAAAAGCTAGAATATGAAGTAATATGACAATACCATAATAGAATTTCATCAAAGAGCAAAACTGCAAGGAAAGTTTCATAGCAGCCCTCTATCTTCAAGTGTATTATGCATAAATACAATATACATGACATCTAGCAGGTGGTAAAAGCAGCCTTCTTTATTGGGTTACAAATAACATTAGTTCATAAGGATATACAATCACAAACAATAGAATTATGCAATCTAATTTACATCTAGAAAATAAAGAAATAAATAAAAATTTACATGCCTGTGTAGAAAAGAAACCTTAGAACACAACTAGTTTCCTGATTCAATCCTCTCAAGAACTTCTAATCTTGTCTTCCTCTTCCACCCTTTCATGGTAGCCACCAGGTTCACTAGCCCTACAACTTGACTCCTAGAGTATTCCTGCATTGAAAAAGGTTATTATGGCTCATGTCCAGGAACTGGAGAGGACACGGAATTTCAATAAACTATTAGTTCTTACAGGATGAGAGCGTGCCCAATACACATACTCAGTCTCTGGAAGATAGAAGGCCTGATTTGAAGGTACAAAAAAGAAAAAACTACATTTCAGTTGATCTAGAAAAACATGTCAACCAATATTTCTAAAAAAAAAAAAAAAAAAAAGAGAATAGGGATTGTTTATGGCAATAAAATTTAGCATTTCAAATACTTCCCATTATGAAACCTAATTTTTAGCCTAGCTTAATATATACTTGCTTGTTTAAGTCCACCCAAACATTCATATGAGCCATAAGATCTATTCTCAAGTGATGGGCCAAGTTTTTACTGCAAGAAGAATAGGCGGCACACAAACTTAGCTGCAGGATGAAAATTGTGATTATGTTATTGATAGGAAATACTTGATTTCAAGTATTTCCAAATCACTTCTACAGCAAATCTCGATGCAAACTGCTGTTCACAGCAGGAAAAACAGCAAAACAGTGGGAAAAACAGGGAAAAGCTGAGAGAAAATTGGAAGAACAGCTTGTATTTTACTAGTAGAAGAATAAAATAGCAAGATACAATTGATCCTCAATTCGAGAGGAGGATCGTTCTCTCCCAAATCTCTGGCAACGCCAAGAGCCCAAAGAAAACCTAAAATCTACGAGATCTCAAATTTCAGCCAAATTCAAGATACTCAAACCTTAGAAAAATCAACTATTTAATGCATACAAATCAAAAAGAATTCCCTAAACAGTCCCTACAATCAATTTCCCTCCTAAAATCCATTCAAAAACCTTCCTATTCGGCCCTGTTTGATCCCGGCGGGCGTGCGGGAGGCGGAACTTCCGCCTCGTGTAGCTGGGCCGGTCCCGCGTGGACCGGCTGGACCGGTCCATTGGACCGGTCTAACAATACTCCCCTCCCAAAGATCCACCTTGTCCGCAAGGTGGAAAGACGACACCCTCCATTCATTCTTCATCACAAACAGTAAGAACTTGAAGAGTTCGGTCCTTACACCTGTGCCCCAGCGTATACCTCTCGTCACATCTGAAACAAAGCCCTTTTGCCCTCTTCTCCTGTAATTCTGTCTCAGTGAGCTTCTTGAAGTTATCCCCACTCCCTCCTCCTACTGACTTCTCCCTGGTGATCTCATTATTGTTGACTGATGCAGGCCCCTTTTGTGCTAAAAGAGTGGTCGTAGTCTTGTAAGAGCCTCCTGAGCTGCTGCTCCTAGCTCCCTTCTCCAGATTATTCTGATTTTCTACCAGCTGTGCCAACTTCATTGCCTCCTCCAAGTCACTAGGCATCAGAACTTTAACTGCCGCTCGGATCTCTGCCTTCAACCCCTTCATGAAATTCCCCTCCAATACGCTATCTGATAATCGCTCCACCCTACTAGCCAGGTGCTCGAACCGATCACGGTAGTCTTCTACTGATCCCTCCTGCACCAGAGCAAAGAACTGCTCATAGAAATCTCCTCCCCGGTCGGTTTGGAAACGTTCTATTATGCAGTTTTTGAATTCCCTCCAGTTCCTGATAGGCTCCCTCCTATCACGCCACTGATACCATGCCAAAGCCTTTCCTTCCAGACACAATCCTGCCGCCGTCAGCTTCTCATCCTCTGTCAACCCATTGACCGCAAAGTAACGCTCCACCTTGTAGATCCAGCCATGGCCGTCTTCCCCCTCGAAAACGGGCATCTTCAATTTCCTCACCTTGGGATCTCCCCGGTATCCTCCATAGCCTCCCATTCCCCTCAGAGGAAGCGTTCCCCAATTGTCCCGATCGTCCCTCCGACGAATATACTCTAACCCCTCTTCATACTCACCTCTCCTCCCTTCAACATCATCACCTCGACGCTGAATACCTTCAAATTCAGCACCTCGACGATGACGTTCCTCCCTTCTTCCTTCAAAATCCCCCCCTCGACGCTGAATTCTTTCGAATTCAGCACCTCGGCGATGCGATCCCTCTCTTCTCCCACCAAAATCAGCCCCCCTTCTGTCATATCCCATGCTCATCTCTTCCCTCGAAAGGGGCTCTAAAGGAGGCATGTCGTTCTCTTCCTCTAGGATCTCCACCTCCACATTTCTCCTCCCCCGCAAGGGGTTCGGATTTCCTCCCATGCCATGGCCGTCGGCGATCTCTCTTACTTCCGATGTCGCCGGATTGGTTTTCATCTCAAGTAGTTTCTTCAACATTTCCTCCATTGCGGTGAACTTCCCCTCCAACCTTTCATTGTTGGAGGTGATTTGATTTTGAAGGTTGAAGAATCTTTCCTCCAAATCGGCTTTCAATTGGCCGACTTCGCCTTCCAAGATGTCAACCTTCTTTCCGGCCATCTTTCTTCCAAATGGATCTCAAAAATATCACTTCCGGAAATGATAAACTTGCTGAAATTTCAGAATTTCAGCCGCCGGTGGTCCCAAATCGACGCTCTGATACCAATTTGATAGGAAGTGCTTGTATTCACAAGCAACCTATCCAAAATCGGCGAACCAACAGCAGCCAAATGGCTGTCCACAGCAGGAAAACAGCAGAAATCTGCTGTTTACAGCAGAAAAACACCAACACCACAAGGAAATCTGAGAGAAAACTCAAAGAAAAGCTTGTATTCCACTAGTCGATGAATAAATTAGCAAGTACAATTGATCCTCAATTCGAGAGGAGGATCGTTCTCTCCCAAATCTCTGGCAACGCCAAGAGCCCAAAGAAAACCTAAATCTAAGAGATCTCAAATTTCAGCCAAATTCAAGATGCTCAAACCCTAGGAAAATCTACTATTTAATGCATACAAATCAAAAGGAAATCCCTAAACAGCCCCTACATTCAAATTTCCCTCTCAAAACGCTAAAAAAACGCTTCCTAAAATGCTCTAATGGGCTGGTCGGGCCGCTCGATCTCCGCAGGAGGCGGAGATCTCCGCCTGTTTCGCGTTTTTGGCCCGTGAACCGGTCCCGCCTGGACCGGCTAGACCGGTTCAGTGGACCGGTCTAACAGATT